GATGAACATCTCATTTTAAAATATAAAAAATCTAAAATATAATTGAAATAATTATCGAGTTCCAACAAAATAAATAATTATTATCTTTATAAAAAAATTATATTATTAAACTAAATATAAATTACTTCGTTATTGTACATAAATTGAATTATAAAAATATTGAATTAAAAAATTACACAAAAAAATGAGGAATTTCAAATAGTTAATCTGATACTAATATCGATATATTTTTATCAAATTTTTATGATATCTTCAAACATATATTTTATTCAAAAATAAATATTATCGCTTTCTCAAAATCACATAAAACCATATTATAACATCGACTGAAATAAAGAATAAAATAAAATATTAAAATCACGATGTATCTCGTTGCATTACGCGAGTACGTTTCTAATTGTTTTAAATAATCAAATTATTTGATTGAACGGAATCGGGTTTTAGAAATGAGAATCGGGTCAATATTCGAGATCCATATACCAAAAAGATATTCTTCTACAACGATCGAGTCAGATCCCACTTCATTGATTATTCCCTTTTCCTGCACTGAAATTTCTGCTTTTCTTCATTCGCAAATGGCGACTGATTTCTGGACATCGACACACTAGTAAGTTTCAGTTTTAGGGTTTTTATGAGTTGAATGTTGTGTTTGGTCGTAGCATCACTCTCCGAATTCATCAATTTCTGTAGTTATTAACTGCTAATTGATTCAAATCAACTGTTGTTCTTCTGTTGTGCGTGTCTGTAGCAAACAATTACTGGACCAAGAAGAAGTAGATGTGGTGCACAGCCTTGACAAAGAGAGGGGAATCACCCTTGAAGATTTTAAGCTCATCAAATTGCATATGACCAATTGTACGTCTCTCTCTCTCTCTCTCTGTTATGTGTTCTGTCTGTGATTTCTAGAAGTTTTTTTCTCGTTGCATGAAGTTTGAAAGTGAGTGAATATGTTTAATCTGCTTAGATTTCGTAACTGGTTCATCATCAAGTTGCATTGATATTGTCGTGATGAACATTTGATGAAAAATGCATTTTAAGAAGGGATCGTACACCTAAGGATTGTTTAGTTAGGTCTTCACGTAAGTTACAGATTATGCGAAACCAAATCGGGGATTCATGTTATGGTCCTATGGATATGATTGTGATCTCCTTATGTGTGGGATTGTGTTAGAAATATCTATGTTGATGATTACAATAATTGGTGCAAACCTGGTACATATGACATTCATAAATGAATATAGCTCTTCTCACAAACTAGACACCAACAGTTTCCTACTTGTACTACTTTTTACATAGCATAATGTAATTATGCTTGAAGTATCGAAGAATCGACATCTATTTTGAAGTAAAAAATCAGTCCAACTTTGGTTCACATCAGTCAAACTTTTTCTTCTTTCTGGAACAGATGGGATGCTTTGGATTTACTATTTGAACCCATTTGGGTTACATCATAGCATTTGAAATGTAAAAAGGGGATTTAACGTTGATGTGTGCAAGTATGAAATTTGTAGGTGGTTCAATTAGCATATAGAGACGGTTCATTTTAGCCACACCCAACACTTCTTGTACAAGATCTATGTTGGGAATGGATATTTTCTGGTCCCATAACTTGTAACAGCTGGAACCAGATTAGTAGAATATTATGTCCATGATCAATTAGTCATTTAGTCTTGATCTCTGAAAGACCCGATGTGGTTTTCAAAGAAAAGAAATTTATGCCCCAGGCTCATTTTGCATCCTTGGGCAATATCAAATAGTGCGAATCGAACTTAAAACCTTTTGGTTTAAATCCTTAATAAGATCCAACCTTTGACCTCTGTATTCTTGCAGATATTGCACGATTGGCTCAGAATGTGAAAGTGAGGCAAAGGTTAGCTTCAATCTTTTGTTATATATAGGCATATGGCTATATCATGAATTTGAGTTTTCCTCATATATGCTGGTCTCAACGTATCTATGACTTTTAGTCAGAGCTTTAATGCATCTATAACGTTCATTTTTTCACGAGTGCAAATGATTTTCAGTTGAGAGACATGTATCAATTATCATTCCCTCTGTGTCCCAAACATGATTCAACAATTTTCTATTCAGGTATTCATAAAGTTAAATGCAATGTTCCCTTTAGATCACCTCTTCTCCCATAAGTAATTGTTACCAATCATACCCTTTTATTGCATCTTCTACTTTTGTATTCTTTAGTTGACTAGCAATCATACCCTATTATTGCATCTTCTACTTTTGTATTCTTTAGGGGTATTATAGACAGTTGACTAACAAGCATACCCTTTTATTGCATCTTCTACTTTTGTATTCTTGAGGGGTATTTTAGACAGTTGACTAACAATCATACCCTTTTATTGAACTATGTGTCGAGCACCGAGGGACTTTACGTGGCACTTATATTTTGAAGTTTATCACATGGTTCACTGTGTTCATTGATTTCTTTGTCACCTTCCGCTATTAAGTTTTAATTGCATTGGTTACTATTTCAGGGTTGTAGCAACCGCGGTAACATATATGAGGCGTGCTTATACAAGGTATATCTACATGCTTATATGATATATATACGTTCTAGCTGAATAATTTGATGATAATACCTGGTTTAGAAGCTGTTTCTCCATGGTTCTGCTAAATCAAATCTAATTAATCTTCTATGCAAATTATACGCATCTGTTCGTTTGCAATCTGGTTGCATCAAAGTCTATAATTCTAATTTTAGTTCTCCCATATTGCAGATGAATTCACATTTGAAGTTATTAAATAAATTTATGAACAATCTTCTAGGATTTTCTTGCTATATTTGTTTATCTTGTAATTTTTAGAGCCTAATTATTGCATTTTTTTTTCTTTTTGCATTTCTTTGGTTTCAGGAGAAGTATGACCGAATATGATCCACGTCTGGTGGCACCAACATGTTTATACTTAGCATCAAAAGCGGAAGAAAGCACTGTGCAAGCAAGACTTCTTGTATTTTACATTAAAAAACTGCGTAAAATTCTTTTTCTTGAACTCGTTTGCTGGATTATCATCTAAGTTTGGAAAGAGGTGTCCTAAGAATTCAAATTCGTGTTTGCAGATTCAGATGAAAAGTACCGATATGAAATTAAAGAGATATTGGAAATGGAAATGAAAATTTTGGAGGCACTAAACTACTATCTAGTCGTGTTCCATCCTTATCGTGGATTGTCTCAGTAAGTCTCTCCTCTACAAGTATGTTAATTATATTTTAAAAATATGATTATTATTCGAGCCGAAATTTGAAACTTTTACCATAATCGATAATAACAGCATATAGATGACTATGGGCCCGTTTGTTAGCAGCTTAATGAGCTTAATGGGATTCACAGCTTATTCTCTCAGCTATACATGACGTTTGGTAGTGACTTAATGATATAGAAAGTGGCTTATCTAGTAAGCTTGTAGGAGGAGCTTTATGTAGAAAGCCAAGTTTTTTCCAAACTTGCCCCTCCCAATTTAAAAACAAGCTCCTTCGGTCTATAAAAAACCCTCCCAAACAAAAACATTTCCAATCTATACAAACAAATTAATTAACACATTCAACTTTATCCATACATGACTTGATGGAAAACCAACCAAACTGCCCCTATTTTAGACACGGTCAAACTGGCTATAGTTATAATACACCATTTAAATACAATGAATAGCCTATAGCACATTTGTCTTTTGGATTAACCCTCTACAAGTAACAGTGGTTTAGTCTTTACGGATCAAAAATACTTTCACGTTGTGTTATACTCGTCCCTATTGGTTTCCTGAGACAGATGTAAGGTCTGCATACATCTTACCCCCAACCCTACATTCAGGTGGTATATACTGGGTTTATTTGGTTGGGTTTTATTGTGTTATACTGGTTATAATTTTTGTTTCTCTTAACAGGTTGCTTCAAGACGCTGGGATGAGCGATGCAACTCAAATGACCTGGTAAGATCTTAACCGTTAGTCGCTAGACTCTTTTCAAACAAATTGCTTGGACCAACTTGGGTCATGGGTTCGAGCCAATGGGTTCGAGCCACAAACAGTCTTCTTTGCTAAAATACAGTGAAAAGCTATATGTTATTGTCTCCAACCTCACAAACTAGGGTCCACTGAACTGGGTGGCCCATTTTATCATTGCATCCTACAGTCCTACTATTTGAATCAAATCATAGCATTGAAAATCGGGAATTTAACGAAAATAGCCATTTTGACCATCACTTTTCACCTCCTAGCCATTCCTCTCCCGAACTTACCAAAAAAATCTGTACCTCCTTAAGTGCCTAGGCTGCAACTTGCGGAGGGGGTGTTTTTTAGAAATACATCCATAACACATGTCAAGTTGACCCACCAAACTTCGAAAACTGACATGTATACATCCATAATACATCGGCAAGTGCCCATTTTTACCCTCCATAATACATCCGTAAGTTCCCGTTTTTACCCTTATGTTGTTTGGCATATCTGGAAATTGACATGCGTACATCCATAACACGTCACCATTCAATTTATATATCAACCAGATTTAATTCAACAATGAGATTTAATCTTTTTTCAGAACGTCCCCCTCTACAAGTTGCGGCCTGGGCACTTGCGGAGGTATTGATTTTTTTTTAGATTAACCTGGATATCCAACCCGCTATGCGAGCTGACTAACCCCAGGGCGACCACCTGCAGATAGTCCGGAGTCACCGTATTTGAACCTCCATGGCCACAAGGGGAATTTTATTCCTCCTTGAATTTGAACCTGAGACCTCCAGGTACTTTTGACCTTTGGAGCCAAGCTCAAACCAATCAGGCACCACCCTTGTGATTTAGGTATTGATTTTTAAGTAAGTTTGGGAGAGGAATGGCAGGAGGTGTAAAGTGATGGTCAAAATGGGTATTTATGATAATTCCCCATTGAAAATGGTTTTGTTATTGATATGTGTTTAGTATGAAATTAATAAAAGAGAATTAACTAAGCCTCTTCTTTATCATTTCCTAAGCCATACGTGTAATCTTTGATCTGGTGGTTTGGATCATATTTAGGGGGCTTATCAATGACAGCTATAGGATGGATCTAATTCTGATATACCCACCACATTTGATCGCATTAGCGTGTATATACGTTGTGTGTATGCTCAAGGATAAAGACAACACGGCTTGGTTCGAGCAGCTACGAGTTGACATGAATTCGGTACGCATTCAATCTTAATTACGATAACATTTTGCTTACTAGAAACCTTATCGTATCTTAGTGAACATCTAGTGGTACATTCGTAGAATATATATTGGGAAATCGACAGAAATAGCCAATGAATTCACTCTATAGCCGTTTCTTAAAGTAAATTTACAAAATAGCCACAATTTACGCAAAGGTCAAAATAGCCACCTTTTTCTAATTAAAGAAAAAGGAAAAAAAAAGGTAAGATTTACTTGCGTAAGCAATCAGATGTTAAATCACATGTCGTACGATTGGTTTGAGTTTGGGCTCCAAAGGTCAAAAAGTGTCTCGAGGTCCCAGATTTGAATCCAAGGAGGAATAAAAATCTTCTTGTGGCCATAGAGGTTCAAATGCGGTGACTCCAGGCTACCTGCGAAGTGGGTGGACGTCCTGAAATTAGTCGGGTCACATAGCGGGTTGAGAATCCAACTTAATAAAAAAATATATATTAAATTACACTTTATATCCTTACAATTAATTATTTAATTTACTTTGTACCATTGCTTTTTCATTTTCTCTTTTACATATTTAACATACATAAATTGTATATTAGCTAAAAGGTTTTGTTATGGTGAAAAGGGATCTCCATTCTTAGATCAATCGTAATTGAAGATTAACACTAATGCGATGTACCAAGATGCATCAGATCAATTCCCGTGATAAACGTAATTCATGGTGGGGTGGAGATTAAAAATGATTAAGGGTCCACATCCCTTCTTAAGCTTCTCATGTTAACTTCTATTCTCACACAGTCCTTCGTCTTAGCTAAAATATGTTAAAAAATACGTTTATTTTTTTACAAATTATATCATCATAATCGTCCTATCAATACCTTTAAGATGAACTCAATATTGAATATTTTTATATCTAATCATATTATTAAGTATCATAAATACTTACGGATTATTTCTAATACTTCACTTTATACCTTTATAATTACAAATTAAATAAATACTATAAGGGTATAAAATGATAGTATTAAAAATGATTATTACGTATTTATGATATTTAATAATATGATTAATTCCATAAATATTCAATATTAAGCTCATTTTGAAGGTATTGATGAAACGATTATAAAATCGTATTTTTTTAATGTATTTTAATTAATATACGATTATGTATAGTAATATGAAAAGGATGAAAAATGGAAAAATAAAGATATAAAGTAAATCAAATAACTAATTGTAAAGGTATAAAGTATAATTATATGCGTAATCCCATTTCTTTTTAATTAGAAAAAGATGGTTTGTGGGTATTTTGGGAATTTGTTTTAAAAAGTGGCTTTACGTGAGTTCAATTGGATTATTTTCGTATGGGATTTTTACAATGTATGTAAATCATTAGTAATTTTGTGAAACGGTCGGATGGTGTTATTGGATGTTTGGTTTTGTGACAGGTGGAGAAAATAGCGACAGAAGTACTAGATTTTTACGACAACTACAAAATCAGTGACGACAAAGTAAATGCTGCGATGCAAAAACTAACCATGCGAACTTAAGAGCAGGGTTGGGTTCACGTGAGACCAGTCTGTTTTTATGATACCACAAAATAACAACGAAACTTCAAACAATTTGTTGTGAAGGTATGAAAAACAACGAACCTTCATAAAACACTCTGAAGGTTCAATGTATTTTACATGGTCTCTCATGATCCCAAATTCTTAAGAGCATCTGCATTTGTGACATCTGTAATGTAACAACCTGTAACGTAGTCGTAGATGGATAGGCCATGATTTCGTATTTGCATATTCGGTTGTATCTAACAGATTAGATCTATGTATTATTTGTGTTTATATGTTGCTAGAAAGTAGAAACGAACAATGTAACAATATGGTGTATTTTAATTAGTGTATATATAAGTTTGTTTAACCATCAACCAATACTTTTTTTAATTGTAGGGATCCAGGTCAACTTACAAGTAAGGATGGTGATTTGTCCCGACCCGGTGGGGAACCCGGCTCACCCGATCCGAACGGGGATTCCCCGCTAAAACGGGTCATGGGGCCAAGGATCCCCGATAGACTCATCAAACTAACGAATATTTTTCATGGGATTTTACCGGGGTTTGATCCCGTCCCCGCCGGGGACTGGGACTGGGGGATTACAACCTGTCCCATCCCGCTCCGTTGCCATGCCTACTTACAAGTACCTCAATTAGAGCTATAGATCGTATGAAATAAGTAATAAACAAAAAAATATATAAAATTCCAGATCATGTTTAAAATTTTACACACGTGTTAAAGCTATGGATCGTATGAAAACACCTTCTTATATTTAAAATTTTACACACGTGTTAAAGCTATGGATCGTAT